AGGGAGAAGTAGAAGAAGCTGGAGGAATGGTGGAACTCTCTCACCTGCTGACAGCTTGGTATGTAGATCAAGCCCTGATTCCCCAGTCAGATTTCAATCTTATTGATAAGGCTCCACTGATCAGTCTCTGGGTTTTTTGTTATACATCATGTTCCCAGTCAGGCCTCGTGATGTATTAGTCAGGAGTAAGCTTATGCATCGTCATCAGACCCTAGGCATTCCCGGTCATACCTCGTGATGCAGACCCTTCCCAGAGTGCTCTAGCTTTATGCTCTTATTTGACTTGAAAGGTACCTCGTAGGATTTGGCTCCTACGATCAGGCAGTTCTGACCTTGCTTTAGGAATAACGAACTGTAGGTAACAAAATGGAGGCTGGATAGGCCACTTAGGGTTAGCAGACCCACATGCAGGCAACAGATCTGTGCATGTTTCTGTAAATGACAGGATTTCACCTTCATGTAGATTTCACATCTTCAGCCACTCACCTGTCAACAGGCATTTAGGTTGTTTCCGCTCTTGGCCATTGTGAGCGAGGGTGGGGTGCATGTATCTCTTTAAACTGCAGTTTCTATACTCTTCAGGCAAATACCCAGAATTGGAATAATGGATGCATGGACTTTCTGTTTTGATTTGGAGAACTTGCCATGCTCTTGTTCCTTAATGGCTGCATCAGCTGACATTCCCACCAAGGCTCACAAAGGTTTCCTTTCTCCACATCCTCTCCAACACTTGTTAGAGAAATAGCCATTCTCACAGGTATGACATGATAGCTCCTGTGTTTTGATTTGCATTTCCCTAATGATAAGAGATGCTGTGTACTTGTATGTCTTCAAGGAAGTGTCTGTTACAATCTTCTGCATGCATAGCATTTAGAATATTACCTGCACATAGGTACTATCACTAAGTGTGAGGTATTATTTCATCCTTTCACTTAGAGCTTTTTTGATTTTATCCTTAAGGCGCATACCTTATAAGCAGCAGATCTTTATTCTATCACTGATCATCAATGTTGCTACACTTCCTGAAAGTGTGATTCCCTGGGCCAGTTATATCGACATTGCCTGGGAACTTGTAAAAGAGGCACCTTCTCAGGCCCCATACGAACCATCATCTGTAAGGGTGGAATCCATCAGTCTGAGATTCACCAGCCCTCAGGTGATGGCAGTGCCCACTAACAGTGGCTAACAGTGCCCAGGGACGGCTTTCCCTACTGCCAGACTATGCTAGATCACCTTAATCCAGTTAGAGGTGGTGTCTGTTGAAAGCTGGTTTCTCTTTCTGGTTTTCTCCTCCTCTAAGGGGTAGCCCTAAACAAGTCCCATTTGGAAACCATGGGTGTTTTCTCAGTCCTTTCCTCCTAAATAGACCCCAATCTCCTTCCTTTGCCCCAATTTTTCTTTCCCTGGCCTCTACCTCTGCTGAAAAGCAGCCTCCAGCCTCCAGCCTCCAGCCTCCAGTCTCCACTAAGGACACAGGAAAGAATCCAAGAGAAAGTGGGGTCTCATGTCAGGCTCCTGTTAGGCTCACATCTCCCTGGTTCTCTCTCTGTGATCTTGGGATCTTGACATCTTGGGTTTCTTGCTTCCTTGCATCTGTGATGCCATCACACTTTCCTCCAGCTTTCTCACTGTTACTGGCAGGTTTGATGAGATACTAATTAGTCTGCTGCCACTGGAAGAGGAAGCCTCCCATCCTATTTGTTAACTTCCAGTAGAATTATAAAATCCAAATGAGCATTACAACAGTTCAGTTCCTGGCAAGTGGCAAAAAGCTCAATAATTCTAATTTCTTATGATTATTCTCCCAATAGAATCTCAGAATCATATTGAGCTAAGCTGTTAAAAATTAAGCTTTCTATGCCATCCATACATTTTGTAGACACACAAGGTGGTGTTATCCTGTATAACTGGACTCCCAGGCCATAACTGGACTCCAGGAGGAGGCTATATCTGGACCCCAGGGACAGTGGGTGGCTGCCTGTCCTAGTCTGGGAAGTGGCAGTGTGCTCTCAATCCCCAAGTTAGGGAAAGGAAAACCTCAGTTCTTAGCTTAAAAGGAAACAAGCTTGGGGCTACAACCTCTCCCATCCACCTTCTGGCCCTCGCCTCTTGTGGGGCCAGACCTCACGCCACCGCATGACACAGAGGGGTGGCCTTAGCTCCAGATTGCCAGCTGCTCCTGTCTTTCCTGTGGAGCAGAGTGCACACATGTGCTCGCACACGTCCATGGGCTCAGCAGCAAGTGTGCAGGAACACAGCACGCACAGCAGGCTCACACAATCCAGGTGAGGCCGGGCAGCAGCGGTGGAGAGGAAAACTGCTTTGAATACAGGTCCCTTACTCCTGGGAACAGGAAGAGGCAGTCCTGAGCAACAGGTCAAAAAGTCAGAGCAGGGCCTGGTGGCGCAGCGGGTTAAAGCACAGCACTGAGAAGCTAAAGCCACTTCAGCATGAGTTCGATCCCTGCCCCGGAGGTGACCCACATGGAGCAGCAGACCTCTCCTGACCTGACCACTGCTCCCCTCAGCAGTGTACTTCGTAGATCTGCCTATTCTGCTCCCCGCTGTCTCTGGTGAATCCTCTCACTGCTCCTGCACCTCTGGCCTGAATTGTATTTCTGTATGCATTGACAAAAAAAAAAGTCAGAGCAGGCCAGAGCAGAGACGTCTGGACCTGGGGCCCTAATACCTCCTATTTCTGGCCAGGACTGGGTGCTGGGTCCCCTGGAACAGCTCCAAACCCAGATGAAGAGCCACCAGCCTCAGGAGATTTTAAACTAATTTTAGATCATTTGACTCAGACAAAAATCTATGCACTTAATTTTATTCTGGTTTAAAAGTAGTATATGCACATTGTAAAAACTAAATGTGAAAAACAGGAAAAACACTGTGTAAAAAGAAAATGAGAAGCACCTGTGCTTCCCCCCCAGAGATAATCACTGTTGACATCTCGGCAGAGTTGAGATTATGTGCACAGGCCATTTTCCTTCCTTCTCACTGAATCTGCAATGAGTATTTTTTCAGGTTGTTCATCTTCATAAAACTGTTCCCCTGTATTGTTGTACCATAACTGACTCACTTGTTCCTGAGTGCTGGACGTTCAAGTGGCTTCCAGTTTGTTCTTGTTGTAGAAAACCGTGGATCACACATCTGTGTGCATAACGTGCCGCAACACCTTGTCTAGAGCACGATCAGCGAGTGCGTGTGAGCATGCGTGTAAGCGTGTGTGTGTGTGTGTGTGTGTGTGTGTGTGTGTGTGTGTGTGTGTGAGTATAATCGAGGAGAGATTGTGTGGCTTGTATTTCAGAGGTGCATCTAATGTACTTTGACCAAGAGAGGGTAGCTGGATAAACAAAGGCCTCTTGGAGAGAAAACAAGATCGAGAAACTGATGGGAGCAGGGGGATGAGGGAGCGGGATCTAGCTGCCCCTGCCTGCCCTGTACAAATGCCCTAAAAGTCCCCTACAGGGCAGGCTCTCCCTGGTGGCATAATGAGTTAAAGCACCGCATTATGAAGCTCTCAGAAGCCGCTGCAGCAGGAGTTCGATCCCCAGCCAGGGAGCTGACCCACGTGGCGCGGCAGAACTCTCCTGACCCACCCGCTGCTCCACTGCTCCCCTCAGCAGTGTACTTCATCAGTCAGCCTGTTCTGCTCCCCACTCTGTCTCTGGTGAATCCTCTCACCTACCACACCTCTGGCCTGTA